AGTTATGAAACCTTCATTAGGAAATTGAGTGGGAGGTTGTTACGTCTGATTAGCATAAGGAAAGGACTGTTCATTGAAGACAACATGCCTAGAAACATAGATGCGGCCTATTTCTTTATGTAGGAAAAGGTAACCTTTGTGTTGGGAGCTATATCCAAAGAACACACATTCAGCTGATCAAAACTATAATTTATGGTTATTATAAGGTCTTAAGAATGGGAAACAAGAACATCCAAACACTCGGAGGAAGTCATAGTTTAGTTTTTTTAAGTAAGGTTTTTTTGAGTAAGGTGTTTCATAGGGACTTTTGTTCGACAAAACAGGAGTTGGAAGTCTATTTATGAGGAACACACTCGTTTGGAAAGCAAAAGGCTAGAGAGAGAGAGAGAGGAGCATGGCAGTGAGCAAGCAAAGTGAGGCCCATCTCGACAACATGCTTGTTTTTCCTTTCAACCCTGCCATTCTGTTGGGGAGTATAAGGATGTGCAACTTTATGTCGAATTCCATGACTTTGAAGAAAGGTAGAAACAGTTTTGTATTCACCATCCCATTCACTTTGTAACATTTTGATTTTCTTATCAAATTGAGTCTCAACCATGTTTTTAAATTTAAGAAAATTGCTGAAGGTTTCATCTCTAAGAAAATCTAGAAAAATAATCAATAAATAGAAGAAAATATCAAGCACCAGTAATAGAATTTACTGGTGAGGCACCCCACAAATCTGAATGAACCAAATCAAAAGGTTTTATTGCTTTAGAGTTTGACAGTGCAAAAGGTTTTCAGTGGCTTTTAGCCAATTGACATGAGACATATAACTCAATATTAGTACTGGAATTGTGTTGCACATTACATTGATTTAAAACACTGGAAACAACTCTAGAAGCTGGGTGGCCTAATCTGTTATGCCATAGAATGTGATCTCTAGACGAGCATGTGAAAGATTAGCTTAGGGAGAATCTATACTTGAGTGGACAAAACTAGAATGAGCTTGAGGTGTTGAGGTGTGGAGAGATGGGTTGGTGAGCTTATAGAGTCCCTGATCCAGACGACCCTGGAGTAGAATTTTCCTCGAGTATTGGTCCTTCACAAAAAGAATGAGTTGGATGAAATTCAACTAAAGCATTATTATCAGTACACAACCGAGTTACACTAATAAGATTTTTTGTGATTTTTGGAGTGTGAAGAACATTTTTCAAGTGAAGTGGTTTTGAGCGAGCTGAAATGGAAACATCACCAACACTAGAAATGTTAATTCTCTTACCATTTCCTACCATCACCTGCTCATTACCATAATATGTAGTTGGATTGCTCAAGCTAGAGAAGTCAGAGGTGAGGTGATGTGAGGCTACTGAGTCCATCAACCAAGAGCTATCCTGAACACCGTTCGGTGTAGCCATTGGAGAGCTTGCCAACATAGCAATCATGGGAGTTTGATGCGAGAGTTGAGCCAGGTGAGCATCGGGTTGTGGTTGATATTTTAAATTGGTTATGTGGTAACACTCAGATGCGGTGTGACCGAATTTATAACAAATTTGACACTAGGTTCGTGGACCTGGATTGTTATGAGAATTCCATATTTTAAATTGGTTGTTGGGTTCGATTTGTTGGCTTTCCAAGTATGCCAGGTTGACCAGTGGGATTATGGTGGTAGTTATGTGGAGAAATTGATCGAGGAGAAGGGTTGTGAGAGTAATTGTTCCGAGTGAAGTTGGGTTTTTGAGATTGAGATTTGAAATTAAAGGAATTAGGGTGTTGTTGTTCCTTTGGTGTAGGGAGAGAGACTAAGTGGGCTTGAGGCAGGCTTAATTGTTCAGAGGAATTTTGATGTTGGAGTCTGGCATCATAGGTCAAAAGCAAGCTATACACCTCTTCAATCGATGGTTGTTCTGGTCTAGCCTCCAAGAGGTAACAAACGTGTTGTATTCTAGTCCAAGGCCTTGAAAAAGATATATCAACTGGTCCGCATTTGAGATCGGTTCTCCGATGGCGGTGAGCTTATCAGCTATAGTCTTCTTCTTGAAGACATTCGTTTGCAGAAATTCCATCCCTCGTTAAGCTCTGCAGCTCGGTGCGAAGCTCTATCAGGCGAGATCTAGAGTTAGCTGCGTAGCTCCTCTCAAGAGCTTGCCAGATCTCATAGGCAGTTTGGTAACGGACGATTTGCCTAACCATGGTTTCGGTGAGAGAGGAGTAGAACCAACTCATTAAGAGTCGATTTAGTCGTTGCCAAGTAACAAAGCGAGGATTACGAGCTTGTTGGTGAAGATCTAAAAATCTGGGAGGAGATGAGTTAGTGCCGTCAATAAATTCATTAGCTATGATGATATTCAGGAGCTGGTTTTTCCAAAGCAGATTGTTGTCTCGATCTAGTTTAATTGAGAGTGGTTGGTTGAGAGAAGGAAGTAGATTTTGGTAGACTTGATTTGGGTTAGGATTGTCATTTAGGATTTAGAAATTGTTTGGTTGGAAACTGGGCTGAGCAAAAGGATTTGTGGGTGAACGAGCAGGAATTTCTTGGGTTTTATTTGCAGAGGAAGAAGCCATAAGTGTTGTTGGAGAGTGAGAGGAAGAATCCATTGAATCGAAGAGATCAGCTTAAAGGCTAAAATGCCATGATACCAAAATAGAAACTGCAGCGAAAGGAATAATGGAAAAGAAGAAGAATGTTCTGGAATTGGAAAAGCTCAGCTAAAAATATACTAAGCTAAAACAATTGTATTTTTATATAGTTTCTGTACAATGTAGAATATACAGTAGGACCACTAATTTGACCACTATTATACGTGGCAAAACAATGTACACTAGGCAAAAAATAAAATGTACACTAGGCTAAAAATAAATGTATAATGTACATTTATGCTTTAACGCCATATATATATTATTTTATAAATTTACATGACAGTGATAATCTTTAAAATTGGCGTCTCTAGCACTATTGTCTAAAGTATATATATGTGTGTACGGCTCTTGTAGGACATGTTTGCGGCTGGCACGGACACCACATACACAGTTCTAGAGTGGGCAATGACTGAGCTCCTTAGGCATCCAAAGGCAATGAAAAAGCTTCAAAACGAGGTGAGAACAATCGTTGGTCACAAAACAGGCGTCACAGAGGACGATTTAGAGAAAATGCCTTATTTGAAGGCAGTATTCAAAGAGACCCTCCGGTTACATCCTCCTGTCCCACTACTAGTTCCTAGACTGTCAAGCAAAGACGTCAAGATAAAGGAATACGACGTCGTAGCCGGGTGTCAAGTTTTCATCAATGCATGGGCAATAGGGAGAGATCCGGGGACGTGGGACAATGCGGAGAAGTTCGAACCGGAGATATTCTTAAATAGCGTTGTGGACTACAAAGGGCAGGACTTTGCATTGATTCCGTTCGGTGCCGGGCGGCGTGGTTGCCCCGGGATTCTCTTTGCCATGGCTGTTAACGAAATTGCTTTGGCCAATGTCGTTCACAATTTTGATTGGCAACTTCCTGGCGGGGCCAGAGGGGAGGACTTGGATATAACTGAGACAAGTGGTGTAACCGTGCACAGAAAGTCTCCTCTTATGGCTTTGCCAAAATTGCTTACTAAATCGACTGTGATCTAGCTTGTGTTGACTGTCTGTGGACAAATTATTAGGACGAGAATGTACTTCAGTGCCTAAACTTTAACTTTGTTATTATTAAAGAAATAATAAATTAAATAAGAATAGTTTTAAACTTTCAAAATGTATACGTGTGTTTTGTCTTTTTTATTTATTTTTTATTTTTTTTATAGACGTTATGGCTTAATAGACATGATATAAATAGAGTTAAAACTTAAAGTGCAATATATTTTATGGTGATAGAAATATTATGATAATGAACATGATCGAGTTTAGTTAACTATGCGAAAATCCTCTTATCTATCTCATTTCTTGTTTTTTCTCCCTAAATTTTATCGAGAGAACCGGATATGTAAACAACATAACCAAGATTTTATTGTAATTTTTTGGCACACTGATTTCTCCCCAGAGTTCTATGATAAGGCCTTATGCTAACAATGTATGATTTTTACCGTGCTCAGTCATTGTTCAAAATTCTCATCTTTATCCTTTACAAGAGCAACCTGATGTGCACAATATTTTAATCCAAACTTTAACCGCCTTAATATCCTGAAATCTGTTATTCATTTTAAAAATGAATTATCAAATTAAAAGTTGGAGTGACCAACTCCCCAATTATCGAATTTTTGAAATTCAATTAATCCAACCACGTTTTTCAAATGAAATAAAATAAAAAAGTTCAAACGACAAAAATTGTCAAATACATATTAAAATCATGAGTTGCTTTCTTTCTTCAACAATCTGTTTTGTCCGATATACGTGCATGTGTTTCTACACCACTATTTCATTCGAAGAGACAACGTGAACGCACAGAATCACCATAATAATTCAGAGGACAAGATTTTGTGCTGATACCTTTCGGAGCACTATCAGATGTCAAAGAGGACTATTTAGAGAAAATGCCTTACTTGAACGCAGTATTCAAATAGGGATTTGAAATGGTCAAGCTATGATTATGTGATTTTTCTATTTGAATTATTTATGATTTCTTTGTATTTTGTTGAGCATTTCATTATTTGCCTAATGCTTGTAAATAATTGGCCAAATATTTGCATATGATTTGAGATTCAATTTGAGATTGGGAAGTGAAAATTGATTCAATCCATGATTGAAATGTCATGAATACTTATAGGATATATACTGATTTTTCAGAATGGTTTAAAACACCTCTTGATATATAAAAAATAGATCAAATTACTCCCCCGTCTATTTCCGGTTATAAACTTAACGATGTTGCTTTGATTTTTCAGGATTTTCGCATAGTTAAATAAACTTTGATCATGTTCATTATCATAATATTTCTATCACCATAAAATATATTGCACTTTAGGTTTTAACTCTATTTATATTATGTCTATTGAGCCATAACATCTTTAAAAAAAAAAAAGGCAAAACACACATATATAAACTTCTTATTTAATTTATTATTTCTTTAATAATAACAAAGTTAAAGTTTAGGCACTAAAGCACATTCTCGTCCTAATAAATTGTCGACAGAGGTCTCTACAAGCTAGATCACAGTCGATTTAGTAAGCAATTTTGGCAGAGCCATAAGAGGAAGCTTTCTGTGCACGGTTATACCACTTGTCTCAGTCATATCCAAGTCCTCCCCTCTTGCACCGCCAGGAAGTTGCCAATCAAAATTGTGAACGACATTGGCCAAAGCAATTTCGTTAACAGCCATGGCAAAGAGAATCCCGGGGCAACCACGCCGCCCGGCACCGAACGGAATCAATGCAAAGTCCTGCCCTTTGTAGTCCACAACGCTATTTAAGAATCTCTCCGGTTCGAACTTCTCCGCATTGTCCCACGTCCCCGGATCTCTCCCTATTGCCCATGCATTGATGAAAACTTGACACCCGGCTACGACGTCGTATCCCTTTATCTTGACGTCTTTTCTTGACACTCTTGGAATAAGTAATGGGACAGGAGGATGTAACCGGAGGGTCTCTTTGAATACTGCCTTCAAATAAGGCATTTTCTCTAAATCGTCCTCTGTGACATCTGTTTTGTGACCAACGATGGTTCTCACCTCGTTTTGAAGCTTTTCCATTGCTTTTGGATGCCTGAGGAGCTCAGTCATTGCCCACTCTAGAACTGTGTATGTGGTGTCCGTGCCAGCAGAAAACATGTCCTACAAGAGCCGTACACACATATATATACTTTAGACAATAGTGTTAGAGACGCCAATTTAAAGATTATCACTGTCATGTAAATTTTAAAAAATATATATAAGGTTGGTTTTAAAATTTATGCTCCTAATCCTATTCAAAAAAATAAATTTCTTCCGAATTTTAGGATCATTTTCAGTTTGTTTTTTGAACTGTAGAAACTCTCACTTTACCTCATAAACTTTGAATTGTTCTTACTTAACCCATTTTATTGTAATTTTTGTTAAAATCAGATGGAAAAAGACAAGGTTAAGTATAGTCATGTAATTTTTATCTATTTTATTTTTTTAACAGAAATTCAAATAAAAAGACCACATAACTGTGTTATTTTCTTTTTCTATATATTTTTAACAGAAATTGTAACATAAGAGGTTATGTGGAAATAATTCAAAGTTTATGAGATAAAATGAGAATTTTTAAAGTTCACGGGGCAAACTAAAAATGACCTTACAATTCAAGAAGTATGAGTTTTTTTTTTTTTTTTGAAGTTTCATATTTTCATCACCAAAGCTTTTCATATGTATTTAAATCTCATGTTAGATTAGTTGCCACTATTGAAAATTTCATATATTAAGGGCGAGAGAATGATGTAGACTCGTGTGAATTTACTCTATTTTTCAAAACCTCTTACTAAAGTCACTGAAAATGTCTTTCAAACTCATAAACTAAGGCATACACTGATTTCCATCAAATCTATCCCCTCCCATCTTTGAGACAAACAATATTAGTGCCCTCCATATATACCCTTCGAATAAATAGGGGTGGTCACGTGAGATAAGCAATATAGCATGACCAAAAAAAAAAAAAAAAGACAGAGCATTTGAATTTAAATGTCTGAAAAAATAAAAGGAAACCAATGCAGAACAGAGAATAAGAAATTAGTTGGGACTAGTGGAAAATAAGTACATAGTTTGTCATATTTTGTACATGTTTATTATTTATATCATTCTAAATAATTAAGTGTCATTGAGACTTTTTATTTTCTTTTTATCAATTGAATGACAATTATTTATTTTTTAATAGAGTGTCGTAAATAATAATTTTTACCATCTTATGTGGTAATTTTTATTTTTTCCTTAGATAATCTAAACAAAACTAAAAAACAACAGGGGTAATTTTGACAAATACCCCTTAAAATAGTACCATTAAGGATTTTTGAGTCTCAACATTGACCTATTGAATTTTGCCCATTGGAATAAGTAATTTGATAGATTATTATCGATAACTTAACAGATATCGCTGGCAGCAGGTCTTTGGTCGCCGGTGGGGGCATAATTTAACAAATTATTATTTCAAAATTCACAAATTATTATTTATAATTTAACAAATTATTATTTAAGGGGTTGCCTATCATAGCAAAGAATAGAACTTAAGGATGTATTTAAGGGTCAGTTTTTACCATTTCTATAAAAATAAAAAATAAAAAAAATAAAAAAAAACAAAAAAACAAAGAGAAAGGCTTACCAAAATGAGAGCCTTTATGCAAGTTCTATCAATAGGAAAGCCCAACAAGTTCTCCTTCTGAATCCAAAGCAAAATATCCACCACATTATCCTTGTGCCGATCTTCATTCAGGTCATCAACATGTTCCATATGTTTTTCAACAACTCTCTCCAAAAACACATCGATATCCTTAGCCACCTTATCCATTCTACCATACAAGCCATTAACATGGCTCAACCAAGCAAGCATCGGAATATAATCCCCAACGTTGAAAATCCCCAACAACTCCGCCAACTCCCCGAGAAGCTTCTTAAACTTCCTTCCACTCTCGCCATCATCACTGTACTTCTTTCCTATAGCAACCCTACAAACGACGTCGTTCGTAAGCCCGGCGAAAAGCTCGCTCAAATTCACGGCCGAAGAAGAAGAGCAAGAGTTGTGAATTTTGTCCGCCATGAGCTTGGTCTCCTCTTCTCGCACGCCGCGGAAGGACTTGACCCTAGCGTTGCTCAGAAGGTGGAGAACGCATGCGCTTCTCGTCTGCCGCCAGTACTCGCCGTAGGGCGCCGACGAGACGTCTTTGTAGTCGTAGAGAAGCTTTTCGGAGGAGGCCTTCCTCGGCCGGTCGCAGAACGCGAGGTCGTGCGTCTTCATGACCTCTCGGGCGGTATCCGACGAGGAGACCACGAGGACCGGCACGCTGCCGAGGCGGAGCAGCATGAGGTCATCGCCGTGGAGGCGGCTTAAGTCGCGGAGGGTTCGGTGAGGGTGAGGACCGAGCTGGTGGAGATTTCTGATGATCGGAATAGACGGCGGAGACGGCGGCAAGTTCTTGTTGTTGGTACTACTACTCTTATTGGAGGACCATAATTTGTAGAGAAGGACGGGGAAAATTATGCCTAATACGATGGTAATTAAGGAAGAGGGATTGGAAAGGGTGTCTTGTAATAGTATTTTCAACATGATTTGCAGATGAAAATCTCGATGAATGGTTTGGTTTGTCAAGTTTTTCTCGTTGCGTCTGCGTATGCAACTTTGTCTTTAAGTCGATATATATATATATATTGCAGAACACGCGTGAATAATAATCATACCCGTATGATACAAGGCACCAAGTGGCAGTGACTTCCAAAACAAGCAAGTGGCAGTGACTTCCAAAAAAAGCAAGTGGCAGACATTGGAAGGATGAGTTCAAATCTCCTTTTCCCGTGACTATATGCTGCAAAAGTTCAATGAGTGGTTAGATTTATGTCAAAACTTATTTAAAAATGTTCTATTATTTCATTCACTAATCTCGTGTATTCATGTTTTGAACGCGTGTTTAGATTATGGAGTCCTATTTTTTTTGGTGTTTTGCATACAACATATACAAGCATTTGTTTAATTAAGGCGTGTAACAAATTCACACTCATCAAATATTGACAGAAATATATCTATATCAGTAAATGTTTAATTATGACTAATTTATTGATAGAAATACCCTAAAGGAAAAAATATTAAAGAAAATAATAAAAAATACAAATTAAAAAAAAACTTTTGTTAAGGGGAAAAAGACATTGACGGTGGTAACTTCAGATTTTCCTTTTTTTTTTTTTTTTACTTTTTTAGTTTTTCTTTATCTTCTCCTTTTTCCCTATTAGGATATTTTGGTCTTGTCAATAGTAAAATTAATAATTGATCAGGTTAGAGTATAAATTTAGGGTGTTCATTTACTTCTGAACTTGTATGGCTTTACACTACAAAAAAAAATCCTTTTTGCGAGGACTAAAATGGCGAGGACACGTAGTCCTCGCTGTTAGTCATGCATTCTATGAGGACAAGACCTTGTCCTCACAGAAAAGGGGCCAAGAGTTCTGCGAGGACATCCTCGCAGAGCCCTAACAATTTCACAGGCCCTGCGGGGAATAGTTTTGTGCAGGGTTGATTACTCTTATGCGAGGACAATGTCCTCGCAGAAGAGTGTTTAGGATAGGAATCCCTACCATTCTTGACCACTTCGGTCTGTCAAAGTCACACCAGGGAGGGTGTGACCGTTATTCGGTGAGGACATTTATCCTCGCCGAATCCCGTGAAAAAAGGCCGGGCCCTTGTCCTACCTTATCTTAAGTTTACAGAAGTGAAACAATATCATTTCACTGCTATAATGCCTTCTGTGTGGACACTCATCCTCGCGGAAGGCCCTAATATGTTCAAAACATAACATATTTGCTCAGAGTTTCTCCTTCTTCGTTCATCTTTCTTTCTCTGCTATACTAGAGAGAATTCACTTCGACAATATCTAAAAATACTTGCGAGAGGCCCTAATATATGTTCAAAACAGAACATCTTTCTTCCTTCTCTCTCTCATTTCTTCAACTCTCTCCTCCCTCCTTCGTTTGCTCTATATCCGACCATAAAGAGGATTTTTTTTTTTTTTTTGTGTATTGTGTTCATTTTTAAACCTTGTAATCTCCTCTTATTCTCTATTTTTTTGAAGTTCGAATTTTCTATTTCTCTCACAGTACCTCTCAAGGTAAGGTTAGACAAATTATTGAGTTCTATTTTGTGTTTTTACATACATTTTGTTCATTTTTATTGTTCTAAATTGTGTAGTTGAATATTGGTTTTTTAGGTGGTAAAGAGTAAATCCGAATTTCTCCTCATTTTCAGGTATGATTTAAATTTTATTTATGTTATTATTTGTATTTTATTATTTTGTCTAAGATATTGTTTGTGTAATTTAGTATTGATTTGTGGAAAGCCATTGATATTATATTTTGTGGAAATTTGAGATTGTGTTATGATTTTAGGTATTAAAATTATATTTTGTGGAAACTTCCTATTGTGTTTTGATTTTAGGTATTTAGATTATGAGAATTAAGGGGAAATGCTGCCTAATTAGGAGACTTTGTAAGAATATGCATGCATTTGATGATCATACATTGTTGGATTTATTGACTAGTATGTTTTGTTTAATGAGTAGTTTATCATCATGCCAATCGACAAGAGTTGGACAAAGTTGAGAAATCGTACGTGTAAGGAATACACGGACGGGAGTTATGGCATTCTTGGAGATGGCTAAGAATCACGTAAACGAGAAAGGACAGATAAGGTACCCATGCAACAATTGTGTGAATTATTTCTGGCATACATTAGAAGAAGTTGATGCTCATATAATTCGGAAAGGGTTTGACCCATTTTATGATGTCTGGATGTATCACGGTGAAGCTGAAGCCGATATTCGAGTAGATGAAAAAAAAGATAGAGAAGAACAACATAATAATGTAAATCCCAAAAAATCTGTATTAGGCTTTGACAGTTTTGGTTTGTACATTCATAATGAATACTATGAACGCTTTAGGGCGGCAAGGTGGTCCTTACTGATTCACAAACACAAGTAAAAGAAAAGAAAAAAATAGAGAGCGAGGTGTTTTGGAGAAGAGAAAGGAAAAAAAGCATAATAGCCAGCTGCAATCTAAAACACGAGGAATTCACGCAAAAAGAAGAATAAGAGAAAGGGCAAAAAAGACAGTTTACTGTTCAATGAACAATAAATTTTGACCTGCTATATGACACTAACTAAAGAAAAATATATGTGGAAGAATAAAAAAGCAATAGCATAAATCCCAAATAATCTGGACTACATCAAAAACTGCTAAATCATCATTAGAATTACGCGATACATGACAACAATAAAAGAAAAATACATCATCATCACCCGAGAACAACAAAACTCAAAGAAAAACCAAACTGGTCACTGAATAAGAGAACAAATAATATAAAGATTGATATATTATTATATTTAGAGATTTCAAACCAAAATACTATGAACAAAATAAAAACAATAAACATAAAAACATATATAAATTAAGAAAAAAATACCTCAGTCGAAGGAGAATAATGGATAGAGTAGACGGAGCAGAACAACTAAAACTCCAAAATAGAGAGAAGCAAACGAAATAACTTAATATCCAAAACTGACCAGGGCAAATAGATAAACGCAAGATCCACAAAACAGTAAAGATACTAATAGAAGTCTAATATCAATAAAATTTGTAAAGAGCAGGAAAACAGAAAAGGTAGAAAAGAGTAGATTATTATAGTCGAAAAATGAAAAGAGAAACAGGATGACAAATTGCAACAACACGGTAGAGCACATTATTTATATACAGAGAAAATAAAGTTCTTCTTATTATCAGATAAGAACGGCTGAAAACAAACCTTAACTGCTATAATCATTCACTACCAACAGGTGTCACGAAGCATGAAAACTAAACGAAAAAGGAACCAATAATCAACAGACACTAAAAAATAAGATATGCATTATAAAGAATTACAGCCGAAGAAAAACATGCGTCGAAGGAAAATATAAACATGATACCACAGTAAAAACCACATGAAAAACAAACCGATTAATTATGTTAAAAAAAAGATCAGAGTGCATATCGATTAATAACGTTATGAACAAAAACTCAGAATAGGAAAAAGAAAAGCTAGATCTTTATCCTCACAAATGGAATCAAAAAATTTAGCCCATCCAAGAAAAAATAAAAATGCAGACATTAATTTTTTCTTACCTTATCATCATAAAAACCTACGAAACATAAAAATTTTAACGGCCGACGCGCTTACACAACAAAAACCCAAACAAATTGTAAGAGTCCCTGTAAAAAAAAGGATTAATCATAAAACGAAATCCCAAATTACAGAAAAAAAAAACGAAAGGAAAAGAGAAAATCAAGAGTGAAAAAAATAAAAAAACTTTAAAAATTAAGGCAGATTAGCTTCATAACACACCGGAAGAAGAGAGGAGGAAAAAAATTTAGGAATGGAGAAAAATAAAACTGAGAAAAGAAGCATAATACCCAAAGAAAAAGAAAAAACCAGAAGCCAAAGAAATGGAAAAAAAAAAAAACATCGAGAAAGCAAATAAAAGAACAAAAGACAAAAAGAAAAATCCAGAAGCCAAAGTGACAACTATTTCGGAGAGAAGACAACTGCAAGGAAAAAAAAATTATAAAAAAAAAAATGTAAAAACGAAAGGACCCAAAGCCCTATTAAAAAAATCATAAGACGAAACCCTAAAATGCGAATGGAAGAAGAGGAAAAATATCAGGAAAGGAAGCATAAAAATGAAAGGAAAAGATAAAAACCAAGATTGAAAAAACTAAAAAGTTTGAAGATTAAGGCAGATCAGCTCCACAACACACCGGAAGAAGAGAAAGGGGAAAAAAATTTAAAAAATGGAGAAAAATAAAACCGAAAAAAGAAAAAAACTAGAATTCAAAGAAATGCAGAAAAACAATATCGAGAAAGCAAACAGAAGACTGAAAGACAAAAAGAAAAATTCAAAAGCCAAAGTGACAACAATTTCAGAGAGGAGAGAAGAACCGAGAGAAGAAAGAGGAGAAAAAAATTTCAGGCATGGAGAAGGAGATCGAGAAAAAAATCCAAGAGCCAAACCGACAATTGCGCTGGAGAAAAGAGAAGAACCGCGAGAAAAGAGAACAAACAGAAGACCAATAGAGAGAAGGAAAGTTTAGCCTCGTTCATTTCGCTCATTCGAGTTTAGAATTCGAGTTTTACTACAGTAAAAAGCTCTCAAAAACAGTCAAATCTAACTTTTTGCTACAGTAAAAAGCTCTCACACAACAATATCACATATAAACTCGAATTAAAAACTCAAATTAGAGAACCGAACGGCCCTCAGAGAGTGAGGTGTTTTGGAAAGGAGGAAAGGAAAAAAGCATAATAGCCAGCTGGAGTCCACAACACGGGGAAAAGAAAAGAGAAAAAACAGAGAGCTAGGGGCTTGTTCTTTTGAGTGAAAAACTCAAAAAAAAACTCGAGTTACAACTTTATTCGAGTTCATGTTCTTTTAAGTTTAAATTCGAGTTCAAACTCGAGTTTAAGACTAAAACTCGAGTTCAAGTTTCCCCTTCAACTCGAGTTTAGAAACTCGAACTCAAATTAATGAACAGTATTTTTTCTATTCTTAAAAATGCTATAACTTTTTCGTTTTAATTCTAATTGAGATGATTTTTTTTTCTATGCATTGACAACGAAAAGACGAATAAAACCCAACCCATATACCCTATTAAAATTTTTCATCAGCAT